GGGGAGGGGGCCGGAGGCACGGAACCTGCACTGGGTGGACAGCTCCTGTCCCATCCGAGACCCCGGGGGTTTATAGCCATCGAAGGCGGAGCCATGGAGGAAGGCTGCGCCCTGGAGGAGCAGCCAGAGGCACCGCCGCGAGGAGAAAGGGGACCCCCAGGGAGGAGGGCGCCGCAGGTTTGGGGTCCAGGAGCCACCAGGCCGGGAGGCGGTAAGAAGTGAGCCCACGGCTGACACAGCCAGTAGAGCAGTGTTTCCCAAATCTCTCATGGTGAGAATCACCGGGTGGAGTGATTTTTAAACTAGAATTTTTGGGAACATACAGGTAAAATTGTATACTTAACTAGTGCTCTAAGACAGAGCACTAAGTATACAGTTTTACCTATATGTTCCCAAAAATTCTAGTTTAGCACTTCTTAGTTGGGATTCAGGAATCTGTAGTTTAACAACTCCACCAGGTGATCCTCATCATGAGAAGTTTGGGACACACGGCAGTAGAGTAAGAAAAACCGCCGTCCTGCCCTTTCCCCAGCAACAGCACCCCCACAGCCCCAGCTGTAGGGCCTCCCGCAGGGAAGTGCTGGAGGTGATGTCCCTGGCTCCCCAAGGCCTCCTGCAGATTCCGTGACAGCCCTCCCTCGGAGTGGCAGACATCCTGTGAGGGCTTTCCTCTCTCTGGGCTAGAGCCACAGAAAAGAAACAATTTGTGAGTTTTGACAGCGAGTCAAGCATTAAAAAGTTCCAGTTTCTATTCTTTACTTCCTTTCATCTAAATCGTGTTACCATCTGTGTGATATTCACAAAGACGCACTGTGGCTCCTGTGGCAGCTTGTGGCTCCCTGCCAGCGCGGCTGCGGAAAAGCTCCAGGAGCAGACGGACTAAAGCCCTCCCCCCGTGGTGGCCAGCAATCCCGGGCCTGTGATTCCAGGTCTCTTCTCCCCGCCCCCCTCTCCGGCCCCCAGTAAGGCCAGCCAAGAACTCAGCGGCCAAGGGGACACAGATTATTACCCCGACCCTTATAGGATTAGGCTCTGAACAAACTGGGGGGGAAACCACGTGTTACGTACAAAGAAGAAAGTCCAGTAAAGAAAGGGGTGGTGGTGGTGCGTTTTTGAGTTCTGACACAGCTGCCCCGCCTGGCTGAACGTCAGAATCACCTGGGCCTTCCAGACACTATGCCTAGGCCACGTCCCACCCACTGGATTGGAGCCTTCACCTGGAGCAGTGGTTCCTAAAAGCCCCAGGTGGTCCTCGTGAGCCGAGTGAGTTGTGATAAAAAAAACCTGGATGTTTGTTTTTCATCTTTGGTATGTTTCTGTTTACCTGATAGATATGGTGATAAATTTCTGATCTTAATTAGCAATGATTATGTATCACATACTATTCTGGCAATAAGCAAACAAGCTCTCTATTGAATAACTTCATTCACAAACTTCCACGGTTTAAAAAATATATATATACTTTAATTTCAGAGAGAAAGGGAGAGGGTGGGGGGAGAGAGAGAAGAGAGAGGACGAGAATCACTGATTGGCTCCCTCCTGGCATATCCCTCTACTGGGGATCAAGCCCACAACCTGGGCTTGTGCTCTTGACTGGAATAGAACCTGGGACCCTTCAGTTTGCAGGCAAACGCTCTATCCACACTAGCGAGGGCTCCATGGTTTCTGATTATAAAAAACTGAACACTCAAGGGTAACACCTGTGCATTGTTATGTTTTACACGCTGCAGTCAGAACTGGGAGACCAGAAACAGGTGCTCAACAAACATTTAAATGAATGGGCGTGGTGAGGGATGGTGGGTGGGCAGGAATAGATGAGGGGTTCCCAACTTGGGCACTGAAGACACTGAAAGTCGGATGGATAATTCTTTGCTGAGGGCTGTCCTGTGCTGTAGACTGTTTAGCCTTTATCCACCAGGGGACAGGAGCATCAACCACTATGACAGCAGAAAAAAACGTCTTCAGACACTTCCAATTATTCCCTGGGGGCAAAACTGCCTCTGGTTAGAACCACTGGGGTAGATCAGTGAATGGAAAGGTGACAGACTGGTGGATGGAAGGATCGGTGGATGGACGTTTGGTTAGGATGAATGAGTGGATAGATGGGTAGATTAATGAGTAGATAGGTGGGCAGATGGACAGAAGGACTGATGAATGGCTGGTGGGCAAAGTGAAGGGGCTGGTGGACAAATTGACAGGCGGATGGATGGACAGGAATGATCAGGTCCCATAAATCTAAACCTGATGGAATGCCGTTGTTCCTAAGGTTTTACTTTGAGGACATTCCTGGCTTTTTGTACACAGCACAGCACAGAGTAAATATTTGACACACAAAGTAGTTGGAAGGATACCGAATGCTAAACTTGGAATTTCAGACACATAATTCTATCAGGTAAAACTGAACTCCAAAGTCTGACCCAGGAAAAAGTAAAATAGTAAATAACTGACACAAAATAGAATTGCTACTGACTGAAAATTGACAAAAGAATAAAGTCTTCATCACAACATTAAGAAAGAAAAAAGTAACCTGAGTAAACTGGCTTTATAGGTAAAGATAGATCACAAAAGCTACATTCCAAAATACCACTTGCAGGCGTGCATGGACAGTGCCATGGAAACTTCCGGGCCCATGGGCAGAAGTCGGTTTTTGGCCTGGGTGAGTCTTTTTTTTTTTTTTTTAATATATTTTACTGATTTTGTACAGAGAGGAAGGGAGACAGAGAGTTAGAAACATCGATGAGAGAGAGTCATCGATCAGTTGCCTCTTGCACACCCCCTACTGGGGATTCAATATATTTTATTGATTTTGTACAGAGAGGAAGGGAGAGAGTTAGAAACATCCATGAGAGAGTCATCGATCAGTTGGCTCTTGCACACCCCCTACTGGGGATATGCCCGCAACCAAGGTACATGCCCTTGACGGGAATTGAACCCGGGTCCCTTCAGTCCCCAAGCCGACGCTCTATCAATTGAGCTAAACCGGTCCCGGCACTGGGTGAGTCTTTTTGAAGAAGTAGTGTTAGAACACTCAAGGGGCCAAAGAGCCACATGTGTGTCGAGAGCCGAGGTTTGCAGACCACTGCCCATGAGAACACACCACCAGCGGACAGCTCCTGCATTGAGTGCCTGCCCCCTAGTGGTCAGTGCACATCATAGGGACCAGTGGTTCCACCCTTCAGGCAATTTGCATATTAGCCTTTTATTATATAGGAGGACATTTTTTAGTGTTGACCCCTTCTTTTCCTTTGTTATTAAGAGTATAGGAAACCTATACTTGATTGCTGCTTTCTCATTTATCGATACCTCAGTTTAGATCTTAGCAACTCACACACTGTTTCAGCCACTTCCACCTAAAATTAAAATAGCCTTTTACTGCCTAATATCTAGTGGCTCCTGTTGGCCTCTGGCAAACAGGCCTCGGGTCCCAAGCCTGAATGCTAACCCTTACTGGACAGACCCTCCTTGCTGAGGCTGAATCACCACCACATCCCCTGTGCCAGGGATAGCAGCTGTGTTAGGACGCGGCGCTGGGAGCATGAGAAGTAACCACGACCAGCATCACATCGCCAGGAAGTGGCGAGGCTGGCACCCGATGCCAGGCATTGCGAGCCCCTAGCCACTGCACCGTGTTTGAATCAGTGCCAACATTTACTGAGTCTTTCAGGCTTTGCAGATATCATCCCACTGAATCCTATTAACCGTGAGAGGACCGGTACACGTGCAGTCTCATCTTACAGAGAAGTTAGGCCTCTGTTACGTCTGCAGAAAGGTGGCCGTGGGAGGCCGGAACCTCTGGTGACCGACCCCGATGTGATGCCAACATAATTCCAAGTGAGACACCATTTACTCAACAGACTTACACTCACACACACGGGACATGGAAAGGAGCTGGCCCAGGGTGTATGTTCCCTTAGAGTAGACATTCCATAACGGACACACTGGGTGCAGGCGTGTGACAGGACACAGCAGGCTGGGTGACTGGAGAAAAGGCATTTATTTCTCGGGCTCCAGGAGGCCCAGGTGCCGGCAGGGCTGAGCGGGTAGGAGAGCCTTCCGCCCCGTTCTCACCTGTCCTCACGGGACAGACCCGGGATCAGCGGGTTTTCCCCTACAAACGCCCCAATCTCCGTCCCAGGATCCTCTCCAGACCCAGCCCCGCCCCGCGGGCGTGGCCAGGGGCGCTCCGCCTCGGCACCGGGAGACCCGTCTGAGACCCGGTCTGGTTCCGGTCTGAACCCGATCTGGTTCCGGTCTGAGACCCGATCTGGTTCCGGCCTGGTTCCGGTCGGAGTCCGGTCAGCACGTGCCCGGAGGCGGCTCGGTCCCAGAGGGGAGCGGCAGGGGGCGGGCGGCCCATGAGAATCCACGATCGGCTCTCATCACTGATGTTCTCTCTCCCTCTCCCTCCCTTTGAAATCAATAAAAACGTTTGAAAGGACCGGATCCCCCTCCAGAGGCCCCGCCCGACTGCAGCCCGGGACTTCCAGCTGCCCCTCCACCCCTGGTTCCCGGTAAACGTTTCCTAAAAGAAGGAGCCCACCCAAAGGTCACCCCGCGAACGCTCCTCCGCCCACAGCCCGCCGCGCGGGTCCGAGCGGAAGAGTGAGCCTGCTGAGTGCAGGCCGGTCCGGTCCGGTCCGGTCCGGGCGCCGCGGGCAGACGGGGGTGCGCGCGGGGCGGGAGAAAGGGGCCGGCGGCGGGCGGGTCGGGGTCCCCGGGCGGGGCCGGAGGAAGGGGATGGGGTCCAGGCGGGGGTTGGGGGGGAGGGAGAGGGAGGGGCAGGGGCCGGGGCCGGGGGCAGGAGGAAGGGCGGAGGGCGGGCCCGAGGGGCGGGCTGAGTCAGGGGGCGCCGGGGGGTCGGCGTGTGGCGGACCCCAGGTTGGCGGCGGCTCCGCACTCGCCGGGACCGGGATGGAGCAGCGGCGAGCGGCCGCGGGGCCGGGGCCGGACGGTGAGGCGCGCGGGGCGGGGCGCGGGGGCGCGGGGCGGGCTTTACCTCGGGCCGAGCGGCCTCGGCCGCGGGCTGGGTGCCCGGGCTCCAGTCCTGGCGGCGGCGGCCCGCGCTGTGCCCGGCGGCCCGGGCCGTGCTCCGGCGCCGCGGTCCCGGAAGCCGTCGTGCCCCGCCGGGCTGCGGCTCCGGAAGCGCGCCTGCGCCGCGGTCCGGTGCGGCCCCGGGCGCGGCCCCTTTAAGAGGCCGGGCCTGGGAGGCGGCGGCGGCGGCGCCGGGAGCGGGCGGCGGGCGGAGGGAGGAGGAGGGAGCGAGCGAGCAGCGCCTCGGCCGCCCCTGCCGCCGCCGCGGTCGCACCCGCGGCCTCCCGCCCTCCCCCTCGCGTCGCCGGCCGGGGAGGGGGCGCGCGCCGCCGCCGGGGAAGCAGCCGCCGCCGCCGGAGAAGATGGGCGATTTCTACGACCCCGAGCACCCGACCCCCGAGTGAGTACCGCGCCGCCCGCGCCGCCGCCTCCGCCCGGGCCCGGCCGGCGCGCGGGGTAACGGGCCGCGGGGCCGCGCGGCGGCGGGACAGGCCCGCGCTCCTCGCCGCGCCCCGGCCCGCGGACGGCGGTTGGGCCGGGCTGTGGGGGAGGGGCGGCCCCGCCGCCGCCGCGTCCGCCCCGACCGACCGGCCGGCCCGGCCCCGAGGCTCCTCCGTCCCCCGCCGGCCGCCCTGCAGGCCCGGGGGCCGAGCGGAGCAGCCGCCGCCTCCCGCCGCGGCGAGAGGCCCCGGCGAGGGTAGGCCGCGGATCCCCGGGCTCGGGTGGAAGCCCGCCCCGGCTCCCGGCCTCCTGGCCCGGCGGCGGGACCGGAAGGGCCTGGCGCGCGCCGCTCGGCTCGGGGCCGCGGCGGGGCCCGCGCTGCGCGCTCGCGTGTGGTGTTTCCTCCTGGACCCGGGCCCGGCCCCGGGGCTTCCCTCACGGCGGCGCGGCCTCTGCGGCCGGCGGCGCGGCGACACCGGGGCTGCTTTTCCGCCCGAAAGCGAAAGCCGCGGAGGGGCCGCGGCGCCGCCCGGAGCACGGCCCGGTGCGCACAGCCCGGCGCCGGCTCCGCCGCTTCCGGAAGGACCGACCCCGCGGCCTCTCGCCCCGGAGCGAGGACTTTCGCTGCCGACCAGACCGCTCGGAAGCCGGAGGCCCCGCGGGCGCCCCGGGGAGCGGGCGGCCGGCCGGCGTTTTGTCTCCGGCGGCCTCGGCCCGGACGGCCCCGCGAGGCCCCGCCGCCCGCCGCCGGAGACCATTGTTGTGCAAAGCCATTCTCCGCCCGCCCTGCCAAGGGGCTTCCCCGGAACTGTTACTTTTATGGCCAGAAGGGTAACCAACAGGCCCCTCTGTGGACACTTTTTACCTCAGTTCTCTGATGCCTCTTTTTTTTTCTTTCCTTTTTCCTTTGCAACCCTTTCCACACCTCTTCCTCCCGGTCCAGCCCTGCCTGGATCTCAGCAGGGGTGAGCTTCACGGCCACCGCGGAGGGATTGTGTGGGGCGTGGAGGGCGCCGCTGCACAAAAGGAGGAATGACCACCTGCCTTCCTCCAGCGAAGCCCGAAGCCTGCGCTCCATGTGCGATGCGCCCTGACAACGCGGCTTCCTCCTTCCCTGGGTGGTTGGGTGGTTGCTTGTCGGTTAACAGTATCTTGGTTAGACGGCTTTGATTTACGGCACAGCCGTTGGTTGCAATACAAAGCTCAGGTTACTGGCTTTTGGTTTGGGGCTTGGAAAACCTAAAAGAGCAGAAATTGTGGTCATGCACTAAAGCTCCCAGGGGTTAGAGGAGCCCAGAGGCTCTGGGGATCCATCCTCACATTTCTTCGGAAAAAGTAACTTTTCCTGCCATTCGGGAAATAGATCCACGTGCATCTGATAGACATGAGTGGAGAGGAATCAAGACTTTGTGTTGTTTTACATGAGGTTTTAGTTTTTTCACTGCTTTTCTGTTCCCACTGCTTCGGGTTGCTAACATTGACTTAAGTTCTGAAACATGGATGTGTGCACGGCCCAGCATGGACTACGGAAAGAGTTATAAGGTGTTTTCTGTTAACACTAGGAGAGCTGGAGGCATCCTGAGCGCCATCACCTGTGGTACAGAGGCAGACACGGAGGCCTAGCCAAGTGCAGTGCCAGCACACCCTGAGGTGGTAGGTGTCAGAGAGGGCCTGTGTCGGGGAAAGAAGTGGGACGGCAGAGGCAGAAGGGTTTGAACCATCTGAGTTTGGATTTCTCATCTTTGAAATAGGTGTGTGATGGCAGCAGCCTCCTAGGGCGATGGGGAGGATCAAATGAGAATAAGGTGTGAAAAGCACTTGGCACTGAGTGTGGCACGTGTGATCGCTTCTGGCTGGGTCGCCGGGACAGGTGTGAGCGGGGTGGGTTCCTTGCAGATTTCCGTTGGAAATGGTTCTCAGATGCATGGAGAAGTTGAGGCATGAAGCGCGGAGAAGAGGCTGAAGTGAGCTGGAGCCTGGTGTCCGTATTGGCGCGGCCGCTCGGTAGTCGGCACAGCTGTGCGGCCTGGCTTTCCTGGGCCACAGGGTTCCGCTTCAGGTGAGACAGCAGCCATGATCACCTGCTGTCTGCCTTTCGGGGCCTGCTGTGCGGCAGGGCAGGCCCAGGCGTTGAGGACCCTGCGCTTGGAGCTGTCAGTCTTCAGGGGGCTCTTCCAGAGACAGGCCCATCCGCTGAGGGATAGGAATGCTGCCTTCGAGCACAACGTGTGTGTTTTGTGCCAAACAGGTGTGCTGTGGGCATACACCTGCTAGTGAGGGATGTAAACAAATAATGTAGAATGTTCAAAGGTAAACGCTTTGAAAAATGGAGCAGGGGGGACCCAGTGTTTCTGAGGAAGATGTTGTAGTATAAGTGAGGTGGACCGGGTGAGCCTTTTTGAGTGACATAGAGGCAGAGACGAGGGGTGTTGCCATGTCTGCCTGGAGGGGAAGCTCGCCAAGTAGCAGGAGTAAGTAGCTCAGCCCCGAGGCGAGCACATGGTGTGTCCTGCCCGAGTGGCTCAAGTGGGATGAAGAGAAAAGAGAGGAAGAGTGGGGTGGGGTGGGGTGCAGATCTCAGGTCTCTGGGGAGCGATTGTAAGGCCTTCTGAGCTTTCAGCAGGTGGACGTGGCTGCTTTCAGCTTCAGAAGGCTCGCTTAGTGTGCAGGGGGACAAAGGAGAGGCAGGGAGGATGGAGGTGCTGATGGTGACTTGTACCAAGGTGGTAACAGGCGATGGTGAGCCATGGTTGAATTCTGGGTATATTTTGAAGGTTAAACCAGTACGATTTGTGGATAGACCCGATGTGGCATGTGAGAGAAGAACCAGGATGGTTCCGCAGTTTCTGGGCTGAGCCGTTGAAAGATTGAGTGCTGTCAGTGATGAGGATGACCGTAGAAGGGAAGGGTGGGGAGTAGTCAGTTCAGTTTTAGACGTGATGAGTTTGAGATGCCTCCTTTAGACGGGAGTCAGGGGAAGGGTCTGGACTAGGGGTGAGTTGTATAGTCGTCCCTTAGGTGGTGTCCAAAGCTGCTGGACTGGATGGGTCATCAAAGGTCCAGTGTGGGAAGAGGGGCCCAGGCTGAATCCTTCTAAATGCCTGTTGGGAGGATTGTGGTAGTGTGAGGTGTTAAGGGTCTTATTGTGGATTCCCTCTTCATTAACATCTGACTAGAAGTTGGCATTTCTTTTAATTACTAATTAAACAGCATACAACAGTATTATTAACAGTACCTGTGCTTCTAGTACACGTCACAGATCTCGTTATAACACACTAGTGACCAGTGCTCGGATTTGCGCACATTGAAAGGAACTTAACTAGAAGGTGGCCCTCAGGGCAGGACTGGGCGAGAAGGGCCAGACATGCCCTGGAGCCAGCCTCCTGTGCTCCCTCCCCCCAGGTGGGTCCCTTGGCCAGGCGTGTGGGACCAGCTGAAACCAGCTCTCCGACACCCCCCCCCCCAGCATGCGAGGGGGCACTCGGCAAAGTTGGTGTTGTACTGGGTGTGGAACGCAAACCCACGGCCCAGTTCGAGCGCCCTCCTCTCTGATTTTGGGGTGCGACTCCTGAGAACCACTGCTGCCAGTCACTGCAGCTCAGGCTCCTGTGTTGAGCATCTGCCCCGGTGGTCAGTTCATGCCACAGTGACCAGTCGGACACGGCCTGTAGCATATTGGACTGCAGGCCCAGTGCACAAAAGTGTGCACTTGTGCGTTCAGGGAGAGCCCTGGGGGTGTCCCACGGATGGCTGTGAACCCGGCTCTGGCTGAGAGGCGCTCCCCCTGTGGGAGCGCACTGACCACCAGGGGGCAGCTCCTGCGTTTAGTGTCTGCCCCTGGTGGTCAGTGTGCATCATAGTGATTGGTCATTCCACCATTCAGCCATTTGCATTGTAAGAGGATTGTGTTTATTTAGATACCTGAAAATGTGATTTATGTTCATCATTACACTAAGATTACAGTGGATATGAGATCCACCACTAGATTAAGAAGCATATTTCTATTGTAACACATTTGGGGAGTTTTTTTGGTCCCCATTGTAACTGGTCTCTTGTAATTATATGTATTTTATTTTACATATTTTAAAAAATATTAAGCTGAGAAGGCATTCACCGACTTCATCAGGCTGCCAAAATGGCCTGCGGCACAAAAGTTAAACCTCTGGGCTCTGGAGCAATAACTGCCGGTCTAGAACCTTTCCTTCTTTACCAGGCAGGTTTGTTATGACTCCTGCCTTGGCGTCATTTGTAAAGGGGATTGTGACAGCATTTTCTGCAAAGGTTTTTATGAGGATTTAAGAGTTATGATGAATATTGGATGGAAAGATGCAGCTAGAAAGAACACTTACTTTACAAGGCACCATGATATGAAAAGCATGGTGAATTTGGCAAAACTAAAGTTAATTAAGTGGGAAAATATTTCAGTATTTTTAAATAAGATATAAAGCTGGGAGGATAAAGTCTCATGATTCACCTTAGCTACATTGGGGATAGCGGTACGCTAGAAAGCCAGCAGAGAAAGTCGCAATGTAATCCCCAGATTCCACACACGGTCTGGACATTTAGTAGCTTTGCGTACAGCACTTGCACAGAACCTTTTGCTACTTTGTGAGAGGAATATTTTTGTAATATTGAGGTCTGGCTCTACAGGCCAGGGTATCCTTTTTGGGTTACTGAGGAACATGGAGGCCAAAATACTACAGAAAGCCTCACAAACTCTCCTAGCACTTAGGATAAAGTATGTCTCTTCAGCATTCATGTCCTCTTCGGTGCTTACCTTTTCTAGATTTCAGCCGGATGATTCTTGTATGGATACATTATGTCTTTAGCAGGGTATGAAGCAATTGTTGATGCAATTGTGTTTTCCTAAGAAATATTCCAATGGTTAAGACACTTTGTACATACAAGACTATCAATCATACTTGCCTAATTTCCTTAGTGGAACTTTGGTATTCACAAATCTCTCCTGCTACCTTTTACTATAGTGACTAGGTTTAATCTATTCCCCTTTTTAAGAAATGAAACCCATTATGATTTACTCTTTAACAGATACCATAGTTTTTCTTGACCCTCATATTCAGTGTTCCATGGCCCTGTCAGTTTTTGCAGAGAAGCTAGAATAGTCACATTCTGGATGGCAAAGTATGACTCCACTGGGCTGCAGAATCAAAAGCTGACCAGCTTCATCATTTCTTTTAATTCTTTTTTTTCTCTGCCCGAGCCCTCCCCTTTTAATTCTTTTAGAGTCCTGTTGAGTACCTTATTTTATAATGCGCTAAGTAATTATTAAGACCCTGAGAGATTATTTATATTGGAAACTGAACTGTTTATACCTAGAGTCACTGAAAAGCAGCTTTTGAATTCTTTTTCTTTGAGATTCATTCTTTAGGGGAGAAAAAGCAACCTTTTATTTTGAAAAAAATTTAAAACTTGCAGGAAATTTACAGAACAGCATAATGAATTCCCATATACTTTCTGTCTAGATTAACAAGTAATGAAAATTTTGCTATATTTGCTTTATTTTCCTATATAAAAAACATATAGTTTGTTTCTTTTTCTTTTTTTAAAATATATTTTATTGATTTTTTACAGAGAGAAGAGAGAGGGATAGAGAGCTAGAAACGTCGATGAGAGAGAAACATCGGCCAGCTGCCTCTTGCACACCCTCTACCGGGGATGTGCCCGCAACCAAGGTACATGCCCTTGACCAGAATCGAACCCGGGACCTTTCAGTCCGCAGACCGACGCTCTACTACTGAGCCAAACCGGTTTCGGCTAGTTGTTTGTTTCTTTTTGACTAAACTATTTGAGAGTATAAATTGCAAACATAACTCTTCATTCCTTAATATTTCATGGTATTAACAATCATTCTCTTAGATAACTAATATACAGTAATCAAATTCATACACATTAACAATCGGTTACTTTATATGCTAGAATACAGTTCATATTTAAATTTTGCCTATTTTTCTAATAGTGTCTTTTCTTCAATAGTGTCTTACCGTAATTTTAGTCTAGGATTACATACTTCACTTAATTGTCTTGTTTCTTAATCTTTTTAAAAAAAATATATTTTATTGATTTTTTACAGAGAGGAAGAGAGAGATAGAGAGCTAGAAATGTCGATGAGAGAGAAACATCGACCAGCTGCCTCTTGCACACCCCCTACCGGGGATGTGCCCGCAACCAATGTACATGCCCTTGACTGGAATCAAACCTGGGACCTTTCAGTCCGCAGACCGACACTCTACCACTGAGCCAAACCAGCTTCGGCTTAGTCTTTTCTTTAATATCAGAATTTAGAGCTTTAAATTTAAGCTCTGGTAGGTACTTACTTTGCTATGATTGGTTGGTACTGCCTTTAAATGTGATGTTTTAGAAATAACAATGTCTGCTAGAATGTTTCTTTGGTTTGTTTTTTGTTAACTCTCCCCAAGGATATTTTTTCCCATTGATTTTTGGAGCAAGCGGGAGAGAGGAAGAGAGAAGTTCAGTGTGAGAGGCACACGGACTGGTTGCCCCTGCACGCAGACGAGGCCGGAGGGAGCCTGCCCGAAGGAACGAGCCCTGGCCTGGGGTTGAGCCGAGGAAAACTGGCCACGGCGAAACGGTTTCTTTTTTAAATCACTAAAACTGCAAATGCTTGCTGCAGGAGGGTGAGAAAATACAGGTGTTTATAGAGGAAAAGGGTAGAAATGTCTCCTTAACGTCTCTTCCCTGCTCTACTCCTCCAGGCCTCTTGGGTTTCTGTTGACAGGGAGACGATGCTCTGACCAGGACTGATTTTTGTCTTTATGTAAATGGAGTCCTACTGCTACATATACCACTTTCTTCTACTTACTGTGTCATGTGTGCATTTACATAAAAGATGTGCTCATCGTTTTTTTTTTTCTTTGTTTTTTTTTTCCTTTGTTTTAAATATATTTTATTGATTTTGTACAGAGAGGAAGGGGGAGAGATAGAGAGCCAGAAACATCGATGAGAGAGAGTCATCGATCAGCTGCCTCTTGCACACCCCCTACTGGGGATATGTCCAAAACCAAGGTACATGCCCTTGACCGGAATCGAACCCGGGACCCTTCAGTCCCCAAGCCGACGCTCTATCCATTGAGCCAAACTGGTCCCGGCTCATCGTTTTTTTTAATAGACACTCTACTGTACTATGGATTTACTATATTGTTTTATTTTCTTAAGGTGTCTGGTTATCATAAGCAGTTTAAAAAGGGCCTTTGGAAACTAAAAAAAAAAAATCTGAGGAACAATATTAACTGTTGAATATAATAGAATCAGAGGTATGGAAGGGGAGTGAACTGTTTATTCTTGGGGAAAAGGGGAGAGGGGGATGTGGGAAGAGACTGAACATAAACTGTGCACCTATGGATGAGGACAGTGGGGAGAGGGGAAAGGGCAGAGGGTGGGGTGAGAAGGGGGGGAAAGGAACATTTGTAATAATATGAACAAGGGCCTTATGGCATGTTGTGCTATGTGGAAGGTGTCTCCTTTCAAATCTGTTTCCCCCTGGGGTGAGTATGTCTGATAATTTATGATAGTGTTTTCACAATTTTATTTAGAGTTTGACTCATATACCTTTTTCTTTTTTCAAAAAAGTGTACTTTATTGTCCATACTTAATGTTTGCCATGGTGCTCATGGATTAAAGAGTTTTCATTCCTGCCCTACTTTGATGAGTTGCTTAGGTATTTTATTTTTAATATATTTTTATTGATTTTGGAGGGGCGGGGGGGGGCGAGAGATAGAGAGAGAGAGAGAGAGAAACACAATGATGAGAGAGAATCCTTGATGGACTCCCTCCTGTACCCCCCACTTTGGGCATTGAGCCCAAACCTGGGCACATGCCCTGAGCAGGAATTGAACCATGACCTCCTATCCTAGTTCATAGGTCAGTGCTCAACCACTGAGCCATGCTGGTCAGGCAGTTGCTTAATTATTTTAAAGAGAAAATTCAAGTTTAAGTGCAGTCTCTTGAAAGTGGTTGGTTTGAAGTTGGCCGAAAAGCTGGCCCACTGAACATTTAGCAGGTTAGTTGTTTTTCATAATTGGATTTATATCAGGCAGTCTGCTTTCATGGATTCAGATGAGCCAGTTATTACTTCGTGTAAGTTTTGGTTATTGTATACTAATGAAATGGGGTTTGTATTTGTCCCCCCTAACTGGAGTTCATGTAATGTACTTTGTTTAATTGGTAACCTCCCCTATTAAAAATTTAATTATTTTTAAATTCTCACTTGAGGATATTTTTCCATTGATTTTTAGAGAGAGTGGAAGAGAGGGAAAGACAGAAATATCAATGTGAGAGAAACATCGGTTGGTTGTCTCATCCACGTGCTCTGACCAGCGCTCAGGCCAGGGAGGACCCTGCAACTGAGGTACGTGCCCTTGACCGGAATCAAATCTGGACCCTTCAGCCCGCAGGCCAATGCTCTGACCACTGAGCCAAACCGGCTAGGGCCTTAAAAAAAAATCAAGCTAACAATTACTTCAGTCTTTTCCAACTAAGCATATACATTGGTCATTAGATGGAGCTTATAATTGGTCTGAATTAGTTTAGATGCTTTTTATTTTAGAATGCTTTTTCTGTCAGATGCTCACATCTCAGTGAAAACACCGTGGGATGGTGTGGGAACCGGAGCAAGGCTGCTTTCAAGGGGAGCTGTTTGTGCTGCTCACTCCCGCCATGGCAGAAAGGTCTCTCTGGAGGGCTGTATGCATCACCAATGTTGGCTTCAGTGACGTGTATTTTGAGTCTTTTGTCTGATGTTCGTAGCCTCTTAGTGAATCGTTATTTATTTATTAGTGAATAGTTATGCCAGGTTTAAAGTTTTTATGAATTTTGTGTTAATATAAAGTAGAGCTAACATTTTTCATAAATTATATAGATGTCTGCAAAAACCCTTTGAAAATGACTTTAGAGAAGAGGGAGAGAGAAAGATAAAAATATTGATTGGTTGCCTCTCATGCACCCTGGCTGTTGATTGAACCTGCAGCCTTTCCAGTCTGTGAGACAATGTTCCAACCAACTGACCCCCCAGCGAGGACTGCAAACCCTTCCTGTTGAAATCCATTTATTCTCATCTTGAGCACACACAGGCCTTCTAACATTGGCTGGTTAAAAAAACGTAACTCTCCCATTAACTTATCAACGCTAGACCAGAGTTTCTATCTCCACTCTGACACGAGCCGCTGCTTCATTTACTGCTGCTGGGGTGGGAATAGCCAGGAAGGTCACGTCAGCGGGAACACTTACTAAGCACGTACTACTACGTACCCAGCTGCTGTCCCTGGGCTGCCTCCATCTAAAAGAACAAGTCTCCACCGGATATGTGTTCATCCTGTCTTTGGATTTTCTAGGATAGGGGACTACAAAATCGCCGAGTCCTAGCAGCAGAGCCAAACGAGTCTACGTCTTGTGAGGGAATGATACATGTTCTACTGGCTCTAATACAATGTTAGCTTTCTGTGTGCTTTGTGTCAGCAACCACCTAAAGGATCTTAAATGTTAGAGAGTTATAAAAATACACATGCTTGCAGACACATTTAAAACATTTTTATATGGAAACAGTAGTAATGATGAAAATCAGAATTCACAGTGTCACAAAAACACTCAACAGCTAACGGGTTTTGCAGCCAGCACATGCCCAGCTGAAAAGCTGCCCCATCACAGCCAGGCTCCAACTTGTGCCCCAACCTTCTATCCTCTGACACGGTCCTTACCTTCTCGTGAGGAAGAAAAGGAGTCACAGGTGAGCACGAGGATTTCCTGGTGGTCGATCCCCTGTTTCTCCAGTGCTTGCCAGCAGCGCTGTGATTGGGGAAACGCTGGTTTATATTCAACTGCCATTGGTTGGTTCATTGTTGACAATCTTCCTTAATAAACTGCTGGTTATCTGCCACAAATGCTTCTCATATTGTGACAATAAACTCTTGTTTTTAATTATTAATGAACATGAAACCTTTTACAGTTAAGTTAACCTTGGGGAACACTTCAGGAGTACATTTTCACCTATTTCTGACAAAATATTTAATTCTGCCTCAATGAAATTTATCTGTTTGCCGTAGGTGATTTGCTTCTGTCGGGAGGGGTAATGCTTATTTATTTTAGCCTTTCTCGTGTCACACACGCTGGGCTGCTGCTGCGCTACTTTTGTCTTGTTTCAGCGCGGACTGTCTCCAGGCGTGGGGTGGTCCGAGGACTTGAAGCCATGGCTTTTGGACAGACAGAGCTCCCGTAGCAATAATGAACATGTTGTGGGAGCGTAAGATGCCAAGGAGCTATCATTCCTCAAGTAGTTGTGGATTAACAAGAGGCTCTGCAGTTATGGTTCCTTTGAAATAAGAAATTTTCATGTAACTTGCGTGGATGTTTTCTCTACTTAAAGAATTGTTTGGAAAAATGGGACCATTCTCCTCTAACCTAAGTTGTACGACACGTAATGATTCCCTGATTCAGAATTTGCGTTATTCGCAGTTAGTTGTTTAAACCTGTGCCTATTTTACGGTCCTACAGAGGCAGAGGCATTCTGGTACAAGGTTGGCGTATACTTCCAGAAAGAACTTAGGTCATACTTTGAAATTTCCCTGTTAGAAAATTTTCTTACCTTTTGTCCTCATAAAGAGAAAGTTTGAGGAAAGTAAGTGACACGTTCTGTTTCAGTGAAGTTTCAGGTTATAGATTAAGCGTAGGTTTACTAAGTGATTTCTGTGAGGCCATCAATGCATATATTTTGATTTTGTAAAAGGCACGATTTAGAACAGGAGGTGGCACACTGGCTAGTTGGCAAAATCCAGCCTAGCAACATGTTTCAGTACAGCCCTGCGCTCAGTTCCCAGTCATGTATCGTGATTGTGGCGGTGGTTCCGTGAATCGACACATGGACTCAAATTGCATAGAACACACACCCACAAATACGAATATGAATGCAGGTTGAAAACAAGGGTGTAAACTGAATAAGATCTAGTCTGGCTACAGTAATGTACCACTGTCGGTTTCCTGGTTTTAATATTTGAATGTGGCTATAGAAGATGTCACCCTTGGAAGGGGGCTGGGTGAGAGTACAGAGACTGTACTGTTTATGCAACTTCCTGTCCATCTGTAATTATTTAAAATATATAAGCTGTCAATACCGGCTTGGCTCAGTGGATAGAGTGTTGGCCTGCGAACTGAAAGGTCTCAGGTTCGATTCTAGTCAAGGGCATGGACCTTGGTTGTGGGCACATCCCCAGTGGGAGGTGTGCAGGAGGCAGCTGATTGATGTTTCTCTTGCGTCAATGTTTCTAACTCTCTATCCCTCTCAATTTTTCTCTGTAAAAAGTCAACAAAATATATTAAAAAAAAAAATATATATATATATATATATATATATATATATATATATATATATATAAGCATATTGATCACTGGTAAATATCAGATTGCTGTAAAAGTTTCTAAACTTTAGTCTCGATTTACGTTTTTTCTGGATGTGGAACAAAACTTGGCCACTGGCACTGGCCTGAAGACTGCAGTTAAGTGTTAATAACGCCCTTCCCCCAGTGGCTCCTCCATGTTTTTTGACATTTGCAGTCTCTACTTTTCATCTCTCTTTTAAAATATATTTTATTGATTTTTAGAGAGAGGAAGGGAGGAGGATAGAGAGTTAGAAACATCGATGAGAGAGAAATATCGACCAACTGCCTCCTGCACACGTCCTACTGGGGATGTGGCCGCAACCAAGGTACATGCCCTTGACCGGAATCGAACCTGGGATCTTTCAGTCCGCAGGCCGACACCGCTATCCATTGAGCCACATCGGCCAGGGTGAGAAAGGTGGAGCTGTAAGTAAATGTTGAACAAACAGCTTGAGATCCATAGGAGTACTGATCCTAACCCTTCACAGACTTGCCTTTCCAAAGCAAGCCATTGGGCAGTCGGGGATTGTATGCTATGGGAGGATCAGCTGACTCCTGGTCCTCAGCTAGGACACCTATTGCCCAATCAGAACCTTGGGCTGCTGAAGGATGGACTGCTTAAAAGAGGTTTGCAATCCGGCGTGTATGTGTAGGCCGTAAACTCAGCAGGGAACTGGTGGGTGTGATTCTTTGTGATGAAAGTGTTTTTAAAAAATATATATTTTATTGATTTTTCACAGAGAGGAAGAGAGAGAGATAGAGAGCTAGAAACATCGATGAGAGAGAGTCATCGATCAGCTGCCTCTTGCACACCCCCCACTGGGGATATGCCTGCAACCAAGGTACATGCCCTTGATCGGAATCGAACCCGGGACCCTTCAGTCCCCAAGCCGACGCTCTATCCATTGAGCCAAACCTGTCTCTGCTGAAGATTCCTTTTTGATGTGCTCTTCCACAATGCTGACTCCCTGAGGCACTTAGGTCTTGAATGTGTGGCACTGTAAGTGCCAAGTGTATGATGTATGAATGTCGGCACATGCATGGCCTCAGTGCAGTGACAGCTTCTCCTGCAGGTCAGATGTGTTCATTGGTGCTTGTGGAGGAGGTCAGAGGTTTAGAAACCTAAAAAAGGAACGAACACTAAGAGGGAAACACACCTGAAAGCATAAAAGCTGTAAAGTCCTCTTTCTTCCTCACGTGAAGATCCTCCCGTGGCCCTCGAGAAGGCTCCCGGAGCCCTGCTGTCGCTCCGCAGACTCGGGTGCCTCTGGGACCAAACGTCTCCGGCTGCGTCAGTGCCTCTTGTTATCCCCACCCCTCCCTCTTCCCTTCACCAGTCCTCCTGCAATCCATGTTCTGTTCCGGGGTCGCGCTTTTATGTCGTTTATTCTCATGGAGGAGTACGACTGTAGCAGGATCTGACTCCTTTCTCCTAGAGTGCTCAGAGTCTGAATTCGCACTCACTGCCTTTTCCTGTCCCCTCCTTACCGTTACTGCCAACCCCCGCTCTGACACTGTTGGTTTGTTTGTAATTTGCCTTTTCTTTATTAACATGAAATGGCCTTGGATGAAAAACTTGATATTTTCTCCAAATTTTCTGTATGCTGTTATCCTTTTTATTAAACTTTTAATTTTACTTCATTACCAAGTTGTGGGATATGTCTTGCCATCTCTGTCTAGCAGCTGTCTGGTTTCTGAAGGGGCCCCTCCCAGCCAGCTCCACATCTACAATGTCCCTTCAGCCCTGACTGTGTGAGACTGACTTCCCAGGCTGTCAGGGTTTTCTCTCCATTAGCTTATTTGAGGGAGATGGCGGAGGCTGGGAAGGCTCCGTCCCCTGTCCCTCCAGCACTTCCTGTGGAGGGGCCCATGCAGACCAGCTCGGTGCTCTTGGGTGCCCTGAAAGAAGCGGAGACATAGGTGGCACTGAAGTGTTTGGGCCTTTCCTGTCCTGGGAAAACCCCAGTGTGTGGGTTCAGTCCAGTCCGGTGTGCCACAGGCTGTCAGACACTGAGCTTATGAATGGTGAGCAGGGAAAAGCACCGCCAGGCACCCAGCGGTGCTGACTGACAGTGCGATGCACCTGCAGAGGTGCTGCGTGTGAGGAAGGGGCACCGTAGAAAGGACGAAACGGTTATCCTGAGAGCACGGCTGTGAAACCCTTTTTATGTGCATGATGCCTTGAAAACTACAGATATATGTGTGTGTGTGTGTGTGTGTGTGTGTGTGTGTGTGTGTATATATATATATATATATATATTATTGATTGATTTCAGAGAGGAAGGGAGAGGGAGAGTGTGGAAACCTCTTTCACAGCCTGCATGGTTCAGATTTCCGGTTCAGGGTTCGGGTTCTGGAGAAGGCCGCACACAAATGAAAAGCATTAATTTGGGAAATTTGGGAATGGGGGCCAGGCGGAAGCCCGAGAGGACTACTACTCACTCCGCCTTGCCATCCCTTCCATTAAGATGGAGATTATGGGATACACCCTTATCCCCCAGGCAGGAAACTCCAATAATAGCCAATCGGCTAATATACTTAAAACTAACAGGTGGAGGCTGCTTCCACTACCAATGTCTCAATCATTGAGTGATTAGCCCTGACCCTTCAGAGCAATTAAGGTTGACCAGTCTTCCCGATTCCCCATTGGTACCTCTCTGCTAGTGAAACGGCAGGGGAGAGAGAGGGGGGTGAGGAGGGAGAGGGGGATGGGGGGGGGGGAGAAACATCAATGATGAGAATCATTGATCGTCTACTTACTTCCTGCACACCCCCTCCTGGGGATGGAATGGAGCCTGCAGCTCAGGCATATGCCCTTGACTGGAATCCAACCCAGGACCCTTCAGTCTGCAGGCTGACTATCCACTGAGCCAAACCAGCCAGGGCACGCCTGTGAAATTTTTAGTGATTTCCATGAAGAAGAAAAAAGTGTTTAGCCTAGCCACTGCTTCAGGTTTCATTATTAACTTATTTATTTTTTATCCTTTTTTACTTAGTTTTGTATGGCTACCTTCGACGCTGGTGAATGAACTGAATGATGGTGACGTTAGGCCTACATCTGGGGAAAGTTTTTTGTACATTTCTGTTAAGGGACATTTTAAACAGATTATGCATTCCAGTCTTGCAACATAACATAGCCTGCAACAAGCATGTCAAACTCCAAGGCTAACATGGGCCAAATAAGGTTTAAGTTTATGTAGACCGCAAAAAACAAACAAACAAACAAAAACCTTCAGTTTTCATAGAAATGTAGGTTATTTCAATAGAGACATGCTGAATACAAAGGGCTGAAATAAATGAGTCATCATGAACATAAAATAATAGCAAATTTTATTAAAATGAATGTTTTATCCTGAACATTAACTTACCAGACACTGAATAACTGCACAAATTAATAAACATAATGCAAATAAACCTATTTATTTTGTTCTCGGAAAACAAAATACTTCCTCTGGCGCACACCAACAAGTCAGTCCGAGACTAATGCGTGGCCATCGCTGCTAAGACATCCGCTGCCGGTATTGGTGGGGAGGAATGTGCGCCTGCCGTAAGGCGCGGACGGGAGATGAATGCAACACGTTATGGTCGTCGGTCATTAGTGAACGTTGTAGTTTGTTATTAATAATTATGTTAATAATTAGGTAACAAAATTAGGTAACAAAACTGATTAAAACGTTTGTTACATACAGTTACGTTGGCTGGGCGTAAGAGCAGTGGTTGTGGGCCGCCTGCGGCTTAGGATGTAACCGCCGTCCTGGTGGAGCCCTCCGTAGCCTTCCTCCCACGTGTCCACCGCGGTGCGAGCGCACCCGGCCTTGGCGTGGGGTTGGGAGTCACTGCGCTGCCTTTGCTGGAACTTACGGGTCTGTGCGCTCGGAGAGGCTGCTGTGCTGTGGAGCAGGGTGTGTGCCTTGCGCGGAGAGGGGAACATGGCCTATGTACCAGGACAGACTGAACTGGGATCCTCCGGAGAAGCCTGGCCGCCGGACCTGACTGTGGCTTCTTGGCTGTTCACTTGGTTCTCTGGCAATATTGAGTTGTCAGGGTTTATTGCACATAAATAGTTTATGTTTTATCTCTGTACCTTTGCTCAGGTCTTCCTACAAAAAAAATTTTTTTTAAGGCAGGATTCTTTGTATTCCTGTCTTTTCACTAAACTTACTCTTTCTAATCCTCACCCAAGGATTTTTTTTTTTTTTAATTGATTTGAGAGAGAGAGGGGAAGGGAGGGAGAAAAAGGGGGAGGGAGAGAAGCTGCGATTGGTTGCCTGACCAGGAGTGGAACCTTTTTGCACAGATGCTCCTCCAACCAGCGGGGGCCTTACTTTACTCTTTTGCTCTTACACTGAGCATATTTCTATCCTTGTACCTACTTTTATAACAAAAGTATATTTTGTGTTTATCACTATCAGCTTTTTAAGGGCAGGGGACTCAGCTTTATTCATCTTCTTTGTTTTAATCCTCAGCGAGGATATTTTCCCATTGATAGAGTGGAAGGGAGAGGGGAGCAGAGAGAGAGAGAGAAACATTGATGTGAGAGACACACATCAATTGGTTGCCTCCTGCCTGTACCCCAACCAAGGCTGGGGATTGAGCCTGCCATCGAGGTAAGTGCCCTTGACTGGAATTGAACCCACGACTCTACAGTACGTGGGCCAACGCTCTATCCACTGAGCCAGACCGGCTAGGGCAGCTTTACTTACCTTTTATTTCTAGCACCTAGCATAGAAAATAAATATTTGCTATATTAAATGCACCCGAGGCCATGAAGGAATAAATGGACAGTCCATATGGAACATACCTGTGGGTTTACATATCCTAAGTTTTAGCAAAAAAACAAGTTTCCTTTCAGTTGGTTTTAAGTATTTATGGTTTCTTTTTATTCTTTCGCATGCTTTCTTGGCTGGACGACAACAGAGAAGAAGAAAATGAGGTGAGTTTAACTTGACTCCTTCTTCAGTAATCGTAGAATTGAAGCCGTTGTAAAACTTTGCTATTTGTAATGTGAAATGAAGTAATGGTTTTGTTTAATTTTGGTTTTGGATCACCAGTAACTTATTCTAGAGAGGGCCATTATGTATATCAAGAAAATGGTTGTTACATGTTAGCTCTTCAGAGCCTTAGGCAAGGTGAAGGAAGCTGGGCTCTGGAGACAGTTTCTTTTCTTTTTAAAAAAAAAGCATGTTATTGACTTTTAGAGAAAGAAAAAGGGAGAGGAAGGAGGGAGAGAGAAACATCCATCAGCTGCCTCCTCCTACCTTCTTCTGGGGATCGAGCCCAAAACCCAGCATGTGCCTCAACCAGGAATTGAACCCGTGACTTCCTGGTGCATGGGTTGACTCAACCACTGAGCCTCCACATAAGACTTACTTTGCAAAGTGGAATCTGTTTTTACGAGGATGTCATACTGCTCGGTGGGAATGCATGTGGAGACACTTTTCTGCCTGGATGGTTACTGTGTACTTTTGCAAGCTGGTTTCAGATTTCACCAGGTTGGGGGGAAACTTCTCTTAAATAGCCAGAGGTGACTAGAGACCGTCTATCAGAAGAAGGCTGCAGATGGAAACGTGCCATCTTTAGTTTAGGCTTGAGCTGGTTGTCGATTTTTCTGAAGTTCTGAGCTACACCCTAGGTTATGCATTTAACTTTCCTTTGGTGGTTTGGCAAATAATGGAGGGAGAAGTCTCCTTAAATTATGCTTTGTAGTTGTCTCATGCAGCAGCATCAGACTGCACATCAGCGTGGCCTGAGGCTGGGCCTCGCAGAGAGAGTGATGGTGTGCCAGGTTGGGGGCAGAGAAGGCAGAAAGGCCTCTGCTGGTCAGTTTAACCTGTACAGTGAGTGCGATGGGAGGCTTGGGTTGTGGAACACAAGTGGGGTACTCAGGCCTTTATTGTTCTCCAAATTTTGGGGTATGTTTTTAATTTTTAAAAATACTAAAATACTCCTTGTGCACTGCTGGTGGGAATGCAGACTAGCGCAGCTCTGTGGAGCACAGTATGGAGTTTCCTAAACAAACTAAAAATGGAGCTCCCATTTGATCTAGTGATCCCACTTCTAGGAATATATCCCAAGAAACTAGAAACACCAATCAGAAAGGACATGTGCATCCCTTTGTGCATAGCAGCACAATTCTCCATAGCTAAGATCTGGAAACAGCCTAGGTGCCCGTCAGCAGAAGAGTGGATTAGAACACTGTGGTACATCTACACAATGGAATACTATGCTGCTGGGAAAAAGAAGGAACTGCTACCATTTGCAACAGCGTGGATGGACCTGGAGAGCATTATGCTAAGCGAAATAAGCCAGTCAGAGAAACATAAATATCACATGATCTCACTCATTTGTGGAATATAATGAACAACATAAACTGATGGACAAAAACAGATCTAGAGACAGAGAAGCGTTGATCAGACTGTCAAACCTCAGAGGGAAGGTAGGGGTAAGGGGGAGAGATCAACCAAAGGACTTGTATCCATGCATATAAGCATAACCAATGGACACAGACACTAGGAGATGAGGACATGGGGGAGAGGGGGTAAGGACACATACGTAATACCTTAATCAACAAAAAAAAAACACTAAAGTACTTACTGAAAGGTATACTGCTTGTCATTTTAAAGAGGAGACTTAATTTCCCTGACATTTAAAACTGTGATGATAGCCATTTGAAAGTAACTGTATTATCGTAGTAACTGTTTGTTTTGTTCATTTATAGGCAAAGATTGAAAATGTGCAGAAAACAGGTTTCATCAAAGGACCGGTGTTCAAAGGTGTTGTTTCAAGTCGGTTTTTGCCCAAAGGCACCAAGACAAAAGTTAATTTGGAGGAACAGGGGCGACAGAAGGTGTCCTTCAGCTTCAGCCTTACGAAGAAAACGTTGCCAAACAGGTTTCTGACTGCACTGGGCAACGACAAGCAGAGTGATACCCCCGCCTCCCCAGCTGTACCTCCTCCTCCTCAAGTAGACTTGACCCCTAAAATGAAAGTGGACGTTGGCGAGCCCGTATCGACTGCAGAAGACTCTTCCCCACCAAAATCAAGGCTAGAATTGGGAAAAATTCATTTTAAGAAACATCTGCTTCATGTAACATCCAGGCCACTGCTAGCTGCAGCCACACCAGTGTCAGCCCCTCCCCCCACAGTACCATTTCCAGCAGCCATCGCAGAATCAACAGCTGGAGACTCGTCACCATCGTCTCCCCCTCCCCCTCCCCCTCCTCCTCCCCACCAAGCCACAGTACCTTCACTACCAGCACCAGTAACCGAGCCAGTGGCCTCGCCACACCCACCAGCGATGGTTCTGATGACAGCACCCGCCGATGGAGCAGGGAGAGCCTTGAAGGACCCACCAGCTGCAATTGAACCAGAGTCTTCAGAGGTGGACCCTAAGCAGGACACTGTGTCTAACAGTTCGGAAGAACACATAACTCAGAACTGGAACGAGCAAGCAAACCTTCCCTTACAGAAAGAAGACGCCCATCTTGGGAAGGAGGAAGAAATTCCAGACAGTTCTAAGAGGACTCTGAGCTCTAAAAAAACAGGTTCTAAGAAGAAATTCTCACAATCTGAAGGCACCTTTCTTGGTTCAGAATCTGATGAAGATTCTGTCCGGACTTCCTCAAGTCAGAGATCACATGATTTAAAATTCCCAGCAAGCATTGAAAAGGAAAGAGATTCCAAAAAGAGCTTAGCACCTGTAAAAAGTGAGGATTTAGGGAAATCTTCACGATCTAAGACAGAAAGAGATGATAAATATTTTAGTTACTCAAAACTTGAAAGAGATACTCGGTATGCATCCTCTCGATGTAGATCAGAGAGAGAGCGAAGGCGAAGCAGATCTCGTTCTAGATCTGACAGAGGCTCTAGGACTGGCTTATCTTACTCCCGGTCGGAACGATCCCATTATTACGACTCCGACCGTCGCTACCGTTCCCCTTATCGAGAGAGGGCACGTTACTCTCGGCCGCATACAGATAACAGGGCACGAGAGAGTTCTGATTCTGAAGATGAGTATAAAAAGACATACTCAAGGCGAACCTCATCTCATTCCTCCTCTTACAGAGACCTAAGGACATCCTCCTCCTATTCTAAATCTGACCGGGACTGCAAAACTGAACCTTACTCAGAGATGGAGAAAAGAGGGAAGTATTCTTCAAAGCCAGAAAGAGAATCCAGAAGGACTTCGGAAAGTGAAGCAATGAAAAGGTCTTGTTCTCCCCTTAATGAACTGGGGTTCCGACGGGGGTCATCCTATTCCAAGCACGAAAGCAGTGCTTCCCGTTATAAATCTGCTCCTTCAAAATCTATATCCAAATCTGATAAATCAAAAAATTCTTTCTGTTGTGCAGAATTAACCGAGGAAACCAAACACTCTCATTCTCTTAGTTTACAGACTCATTGTTCAAAGGGTAGTGAAGTCAGAATGATTAGTAAACTTCCTGAAAGAGAGAAGACGGGCTCTCCTCCTCTATCCAATCGATTAAATGATTCACCGACTTTTAAAAAGCTAGAAGAATCGCCTATTTTTAAATCTGAGTTTATAGGACATGATAGCCATGATAGTATTAAGGAATTAGATTCTTTATCTAAAGTGAAGAATGATCAATTAAGAAGTTACTGTCCCATGGAATTAAATATAAATGGATCTCCTGACGCAGAATCTGATTTGATAACATTTTGCACTTCTAAAACGGACACTGTCTTGATATCTTCTGATGACAGTGTGACTGGATCAGAGGTATCCTCTTTGGTCAAAGCATGTGTGCTTTCTTCAAATGGATTTCAGAACACTGACAGTTGTAAAGAAAAAGACTTGGGTGATACTTGCATGCAGTGTAGTAAGGCAGAAAGCCCATTTAGAGAAGCAGAGCCTCCGGTGTCACACCAAGATAAACTCGTGTGTATGCCAGGTATGACTGTAGATTACTGCAAAACCGTAGTTAAAGAACCAGCTGATATGGAAGTTTCTAGCTGCAAAACCAAAGATTCAGACGTGTATTATGCTTCAAATGACAACAGCCCTTCCTTGTGTCATTCTGCAGCTGAAGGGACTGAGCCCTCAGTGAGGAAGATTTCTTCCAGTAGCTTTGTGGATGTGCATTTGAAGTCGGAAACAGTCCCATGTGATACTAGAAGTCTGACAGATCAGCACTCAGCATTTGCATGCCAGGAATTCCATAAGAGTGCTGGTGGCACTAGTTCAGCTTCTGTTAATCATTTTGATGATTTATATCAACCTATAGAGAGCTCAGGCATTGCTTCATCTCTTCAGAGTCTCCCACCAGGAAGAGCAGTGGACAATTTCGCTTTCTTGCAATGTGGAGAGGACACCTCTCCAGTTTTGGGTGCCGTACTGAAGAGTAAAAGCGCAGAGTTTTCGAAGCACGGAGAAGAAGACATGAAAGAAGTAGGCAGTGACCTTCCTGACCTAGGTAGGGGGATGTCTTCCTGGCAAAACAGGCATAATCATGGGTTATCTGGGAAATGTTTGCATGAGGCTCAAGAAGAAGGGAATAGCATGCTGTCTGATGAGAGAGGAAGACCAGAAATCTCCTTCGAGGAAGAAGGGAGAAGGGGACATGAACACACTTCTGATGATTCAGAAGTTGTATTTTCTTCTTGTGAGTTGAATTTAACCGCAGAAGACAGCGAGTATATGACATATACTTTAAAATGTGACAGCAGTGGTCATGCCTCGGAGATCGTGTCTACTCTTCACGAAGAGTATTCTGGTTCCTCTGAAAGTTCAAGTGATGAAAGCGATTCAGAGGAGACAGATTCTGACGACAGCAGTGTTCCGAGGAACCGCCTTCAGTCTGTGGTGGTTGTGCCAAAGAATTCGACTTTGCCCATGGAAGAAACAAGCCCGTGTTCTTCTCGGAGCAGTCACAGTTACAGACACTACTCTGACCACTGGGAGGATGAGAGGTTGGAGTCAAGGAGACATTCATATGAGGACAAATTTGAGAGCATAGCAAGTAAAGCCTGTCCTCAAACTGAGAAGTTCTTTCTTCATAAAGGAACAGAGAAGAGTTCGGAAATGTGTTTTACACAGATGAGCAGAAAACTGATAGATAACCACTTGGCTGAAATGGCTCGTCCGCAGAGTGATGGAGTTGACAGTACGAGTCACAGTGATGGCAGGTCAGACCCTGGAGGTCCTCCGAGTTTCGAAGAAGCAGTGCGGACCCAAACAGCGTCCAGGCAGGAGGCGCTGCCGCACTGCTCTCCTGATGATTTTGAAGAGGCTCCAAGTAAGTGTCGGCAGCAGACCCCTTTCCCCGAGAGGCCGGATAGCAGACTGGGGAGAACAGAGTTGAGTTTTTCTTCCTCTTACGAGATCTCCCGAGTGGATGGCTTCCATTCATCGGAAGAGCTCAGAAACATGGGGTGGGACTTCTCTCCGCAAGAAAAGCCTACCACCACGTACCAGCAGCCGGACAGCAGCTACGGAGCCCGCGGCGGACACAGGTATCCGCAGGGCGCAGAACAATACGGTGGGGCACGGAATTGCTGGCCAGGCAATGGCTACTGGGATCCAAGGTCAGCAGGTCGACCTCCTGGAACTGGGGTTGTGTATGATCGGACTCAAGGTCAGGTCCCAGATTCCTTAACAGATGACCGTGAAGAGGAAGAGCACTGGGACCATCGGGTGGGATCGCAGTTTCCGAGCCAGTCTGGTACATTTTTTCTGTCCCTGCAGCAGGACCAGGGGTCAGTGCAAGCCCCTGAAATAAGCAGCAACTCCGTTAAGGACTCATTAGCTCTAAATGAAAAGAAAGCTCTTTCAAAAAACTTAGAAAAAAATGATATGAAAGACAGAGGGCCTCCTAAAAAAAGGAGGCAGGAATTGGAGAGTGATTCTGAAAGCGATGGCGAGCTTCAGGACAGGAAGAAGGTGAGAGTGGAGGCACAGCTGTGCGAGCCGGCGGCGCCCCCGGGCCCCTCGCTGTCCGGGCCGTCCTGTGCCATGGAGGACTTCAGAGACGCCCAGCGGTGGAAGGAGTGTGCGAAGCAGGGCAAGATGCCCTGTTACTTTGATCTGATTGAAGAAAACGTTTACTTAACAGAAAGGTAAACACAAATTTGAACCTCTTTTTAAAAGATCAGTTTTCAGCAATTCAGAATCTATGACCTTAATTGTAGGAAATGTAATTGCATGATAAAATACAAATAGAAAAATCTAAAATGTGTATTTATTTACTTAGATGCCCAGAGAGATGTCACATTTTCTGTTTTGTCTCATTACCTTTTAGTTCTAGAAGTATAATTTAGGCCAGTCAGTTTTTTAAAAATTGCTTTTACATGTGAAAATGTGGCGGAAAATGAAACCAAATTGTACTAAAATAGTCTACTCTTAGAGAAGTAAGAAGTAGTTAAGTTAGATTCCCCCCCCCCCTCTACTTTTCAAAAAGGTTCAGAATGAAGTGTCTTTACTTCGTACAGCTGGAACTATGGTAACTGTGGTTTGTCAGGCTTTGTAGTCTATTGTTCATAGGTTAAGTTGGGCAGTAGTGTGACAGATGTTGTAGAAGCAAAGGTAAAATGGTTTACACAAATCCCTGACATGGAGCAGGTATAATGAGCATAGGAGTAAGGGAACCATATTCCTCTACTTGCTGAGAGCTTCTCGTATGCTTTCTTTCACCCCTGGCACTAATCTCATTTTCCCAATAGAAATAGACGCTAAATCTGTAGTCTCCTAACAACCTGCCTTCTCCTTAGGGGAATTTCTCCTCTAGTTTAACCTTGACATCCCATTAAGCTTTCAACTTTTTTTTTTAATGAGGAATTTTTATTTTTTTATAATGTATTTTTATTGATTTCAGGATTTCAGAGAGGAAGGAAGAGAGGGCTAGAAATGTCAGTGATGAGAGAGAATCATTGATCGGCTGACTCCTTGCATGCCCCCTACTGGGGATGGAGCCTGCAATCCAGGCATGTGTCCCTGATCAGAATCGAACCTGGGACCCTTCAGTTCACAGGGCAGCACTCTATCCAAGCTGGCCAGGGCTTTATTTTTTATTGTGTTTAAGATAAAAGATCTCATTGTAAAGTTATGTCCCGTCAGAATTTTTTTTCTATTAAAAATATCCCCCTTCCCCTGCCTTGCTGTAAAGGGCTTCCTACAGGTATATTCATTTACGTTTATTTGTAAATGAGGTTTAAATTCACTTTTAAGTAGAATTTGTATACATAAATGTGATGTTGCTGAAAGATTTGAGTTAAACTCTCTCTCTCTCTCTCTCTCTCTCTCTCTCTCTCTCTCTCTCTCTCTCTCTCTATATATATATATATATATATGGCAATTCCCTTTCTTCCCCAGCCTGTGTCTCCTGCTCTTTTTCTCTTTCTTCTCGTTCTTGCCTCTCTTTTTTTTAACCAGTGTTTATAAAATCCTACCCAATAGGAAGAAGAATAAATCCCACCGGGACATTAAGCGAATGCAGTGTGAGTGCGCACCCCTGTCTAAGGAGGAGAGGGCTCAGGGGGAAGTGGCGTGTGGGGAGGACTGCCTGAACCGTCTCCTCATGATCGAATGGTAAGGGGGGGAAGGCTTGGCTTTGCTCAGCCTCTGTCAGGGGTCTCCAAATACTAACAAGAATTACTAGTGAAGAGTAAAATCTAACCTTTTTCCTTCTATCTTTTGTTGAGTGTTTATAAGCAGTAAGTCTCTTTCCTTTATATTTTGCATTAGACTGTAGTACACATTGTAAGTGCTTTGTAAAGTAGCCCTAAAATGCTAATAAAATGTAACATTAATTAGTATCCAGTCTCCTTTTATTTCATACAATGTTCATGTCTTGAAAGGTAAGTGTTGTTATTTGTTAGCTTTTACTGTAAAATGAGATAAAACCCTATTATTTCAAAAATTCATAAAATAAAATGTATTTCTCTCCTAAACTACAGTCTCTCTTTGTAGTCTTTCTAGTTAAGTTTTATGTCTTTGTCAACATAGGTAAATATTTACTCTTTTTATGTGCAGAAATTGAATCTTACTGTGTCTACTTTTAAAAGTTGTTCTCTTCTCCTTCGCCCCCACCATACGCACACTTAATAAAAGTGCTTTGAAGGCCTATTCAGAGTCATATGTAAAGGGCCTCCCTAAAGTTTTCCCTTAGCTGCCTAGTAATCTATTCATAGTTAACCCCCTAAATATTAACCTCCTATTAGTAGACACTTGCTTCTATATTTTTTAAATAAATAGTGAATATCTGTACATTAAAAAGGTGTGATAAATTTTTTTTAACATGAAAAGACTATTAAAGGTGATAAATGGTGGCTTTAGTTTCTCTTAAATGTAGATCAGTTAGCTATGTTCAAAAGATCAAGTGAATGATGATTAGAGTGGAATATAAGAGAGGGTGCACTTATAGGAAATTAATCAGCCCTACAGCGTTGTCAGGAGCACGCCTGGAAGTGTGTCCTAGACACCGGAGAGGGTGATGACGAGGTGAAGGACCGGTGGGCATCCTCTGACTGAGTGTCGATGTAGACACCCAGTTCTAAGGATCCCTTCACGGTGGAAAGCATTACCAAGGAAGGCCCACCGGGCCTGCCACACGCAGGCTGACTGTGCCGTAAAGAGAGGGATACACTGTGTGCGCAGCAAACGCTTTATCAACGTTCTTCTTTCCTCACAGTTCTTCTCGGTGTCCAAATGGGGATTATTGTTCCAATAGACGGTTTCAGAGAAAACAGCACGCCGACGTGGAAGTCATACTCACAGAGAAGAAAGGCTGGGGCTTGAGAGCTGCCAAAGACCTTCCTTCGTAAGTAACGTAGAAACGTTTCATCACCTTCCAGCTCATTTTCATGTTGATGAAGTTGATGAGATACTTTGTAGGAAAATAATTTGTCTGTTATACTAACATTTAATAATGATGATTGTACAGAATGGCCACTTAGTAGCTCGTACGAATGTAAAAAAAAAAAAAATCCACGTGTGTGTGTGTGTGTGTGTGTGTGTGTGTGTGTGTGTGTGGTCGGTCAGTTCAATGACTGGGACCACAGGGAGGCAGTAATATGGTACATGAAGTCCCTGATGGGAATGAGCTTTTATAGGATAAAGGGAAGGGGGAAGAATAGAATTTAACATTTCTGCAGAGAATAAAATAAAGCAAGGAAAGAACAATCAAGGGTAGGAAGTACCTGAAAGAAGCCAAGGAGAGAAATTAATAATTATTATTGATAAATGCTCAAGGAAACTTAAAGAGAATGCAGCCAGAGAAACAGCATTTTAAGAAATCCTCACCCGAGGACATTTTCCCATTGGTTTTTAGAGAGAGTGGGAGGGAGGTAGCGGGCTGAGGGGAGACACACAGAGAGAAACATTGATGGGAGAGAGACACATGGATTGGTTACCTTCCGTATGCGCCCTGATAAGGCGTGGGGATCCAAACCTACAACCGAGGTACATGCCCTTGACCAAGAATCGAACCCAAGACCTTCGCTCCACAGGTGGACACACTAACCTCTGTGCCAGGGCAGAAACGGCACATTTGACCTTGTACATTTTTAGAGACCTTAAAGCACTGCTTCTCAACCTTTCTGATGCTGCGACCCTTTAATACAGCTCCTCATGCTGTGGTGACCCCCAACATAACATTATTATTATTGCTATTTCATAACTGTAATGTTGCTACTGCTATGAATCATAATGGAAATATCTGTGTTTTCCGATGGTCTTAGATGACCCTGCTAGCAGTTCTCAACCTGTGGGTCACCTAAGACCATCGGAAAACACAGATATTTACATTATGATTCATAACAGTAGCAACATTACAGTTATGAAGGAGCAATAATAATAATGTTATGTTGGGGGTCACCACAGCATGAGGAGCTGTATTAAGGGGTCACAGCATTGGGGAGGTTAGGACCGCTGCCTTGGAGGGTAAAGGCAGTAGGAGGGCTGCTGTATTTAAGTTGCCTTCTACTTCCCTTCAACATAAAGCCTCTGATTTTTCAGTCCCTCCTGATTTTTTCAGAGATGTTTCTGACTATGAAGCATTTTTTTTTTTTAATGATAATGTAAACCAGAGTTGCAAGTTTGTTTTAATATCTAGTTAGAATAAGGATATGCATCTTGGCACTATGTATAAATTATAAAAGCTTCTTAGAATCAACACTCTTAAAAGTATTAGGAAGGAGGAACTTAAACTGGAGTAGATACTAGGTCCTTGACATGTATTTTTACTTACGTCCACTGTGGGACATTTCTGTAAATGCATTAATTTTGCCTGGACACATGTTTTCCATGTAAGACAGTGTTCCCAGGCAGGAATTGCCATTCCTCTGTTTTTCCAGGAACACCTTTGTCCTGGAATACTGTGGCGAGGTCCTTGATCATAAGGAGTTTAAAGCCCGGGTGAAGGAGTACGCACGGAATAAAAACATCCACTACTATTTCATGGCCCTGAAGAATGACGAGGTGAGCAGTATGCATGTGTGTGCGTGCTTTGAAACAGGTCTGGAACTTGCTAAATTCAAAAGGGTCACTGATAGAAATGGACTGATCTCCTGGTTCATAGGTCAACACTCCACCACTGAACCACACTGGCCAGGCCATTTACAAGTCTTCACAATTACCAGTGACCCCCCCCCCCCAAAAAAAAGAGCTTTTTTAAAAAATAAAAAAACCCATATTTTATCAATTTTATATATATATATTATATATATATATATATATATATATATTATATATATATATATATATATATATTTTATATATATACCGTATTTTCTGTCGTATAAGACGACTTTCGAAACGAAAAAAAGTCAACCGAAAATCAGGGGCAAAAGACCAAAATTGCACAAAAATTACCTGCAGATCTTGACGGCAAAGTAAGTCTTTTCTTTGAAGTGGGTGGTAGTCTTATACAGCAAATATAGGCATAAACCTATGTTTTAACTGTAAAATTAGGGGGTCGTCTTATACGCGGAAAATATGGTATATATTTTATTGATTTCTTACAGAGAGGAAGGGAGAGGGACACAGAGCCAGAAACGTCGATGAGAGAGAAACATCGATCAGTTGCCTCTTGCAAATCCCCTACTGGGGATGTGCCTGCAACCAATGTACATGCCCTTGACTGGAATCGAACCTGGGACCTTTCAGTCCAAAGACCGACGCTCTACCGCTGAGCCAAACCGGTTTCGGCTGATTTTTTTTTTTTTTTTTTTTTTTTTTTTTTTACCGAGAGGAAGGGAGAGGGATAGAGAGCTAGAAACATCGATGAGAGAGAAACATCGATCAGTTGCCTCCTGCACACCCCCTACCGGGGATGTGCCCGCAACCAAGGTACACGCCCCTGACCGAAATTGAACCCGGGACCTTTCAGTCCGCAGGCTTTCGCTCTATCCACTGAGCCAAACCGGTCAGGGCCACAAAGAGCTTGTGTTTTTTGTGGGTTATATTTGTCAATGTTTATTATATTAAAAATTAAAGCTGATATTTATTAGTCCCTTTCAAAGGAATAAGCCCATATATTGACTTTTTTTTTTTTTTTAACAAATTTCTTTAATATCTGACTTAATAGAATTGAGGTAGATTCTCATCTTTACCTCTGCATTCAGTCTGGACATGCAAATCTTAGAGATGGACTCCAGGATCTGCTGCATCTAACCCTGGCTATAACCAGGAACGAGGGTGGGGCACTCGGCTCCACCGGGGTGAGAGCTGGGCACTGAGAGCACAGTCATGCCTGACGCGAGACTGGAAGAAGTAGGAGACAGAAGTAGCTCAGAGTGACGAGAGGTGATAGATGAGGGGGTGGTTTTGTCTTGGGTAAATGTTTATTGTCAGCAGATCTTCTGAGGACGTGTGGTCTACACTTGGAAGTATAAAGTGGCATGAGAGTGTTTTCTAAAGGAAAGGGGTTGGGAGGGGATTGTAAATTTAACTCTTATTTTATCCTTTCCCTAGATAATAGATGCCACTCAGAAAGGAAATTGCTCTCGTTTTATGAATCATAGCTGTGAACCAAACTGTGAGACTCAAAAAGTAAGTTGAGGTAGATTGAGAGTTTGGGGTCTTTATTTAAGATTGCTAGTCTGACCATTTCAGATTGTATCAAAAGTACCCAAGGCTTCTATTTTTAAATCATTTTTTCCTACTCTATTGTTAAAGTTTTTATTTTGAAGTAAGTTTAGGTTATGAAATAATAAATGGCGCTGAGATAGTACAGAGTTCTCATACCATCCTTCACTTAAGCTTCTCCAAATGCACATTGTACATAACCATAATACAGTTACTCAACCTTGGATATGCTGTTAACTGTTAACTGTTACTTAGTCTAAAGACCTTACTCAAATTTTACAATCTGGCATTTTTTTGGTCTAGATCCAGAAAACTTCTGTTGCATTTAATTCTTTGCCCATAAATTTTGATTATTTTTAAAAATATATATTTTATTGATTTTTCACAGAGAGGAAGAGAGAGGGATAGAGAGTTAGAAACATTGATGAGGGAGAAACATCGATCAGCTGCCTCTTGCACCCCCCCCTACTGGGTACGTGCCGGCAACCAAGGTACATGCCCTTGACCGGAATCGAACCCGGGAGTTTTCAGTCCGCAGGCCAACGCTCTACCCACTGAGTCAAACTGGTTTTGGCTAAATTTTGATTTTTATGGAGTCCAGTGTGTGAGCACTATTCAAATTTTTAAAAATGTTTTTATTGATTTTTAGAGAGAGGAAGGGAGCGATAGAAACACCAATGAGGGAGAAACATCAGTCGGCTGCCTCCAGCACGCCCCCCACTGGAGATTAAGCCTGCAACCCTTGCATTTGCCCTGACTGGGAATAGGACCTGGGACCTCTTGGTTCATGGGTCAACACTCAACCACTGAGCCACACCAAGTGGGCCCACTTAGGTTTTTGTCAGCTCCCATCCAGGTTCCAAATCTCACTGTTTCAGTGACGCAGCAGAGGGCACAGTGGGCGCAGATGAGAGGGACACACTGCTGCTCCTCAGGCCAGGCTCTGCGCCTTGCTTTTCTGCTCGTGCTGAGCCTGGCACAGAGCTGGCACTTGATAAATCCACTCACCGGTGGACTTGTCACTTTCAATATGCTTCGTTTGTGTTTTGAGCTTAGATTTAAAATATATAAATAGATTAGAACTTTGATTCTTTTTCAGGTTAAGAAAACTATGGATCCACTCCCTAGGAAAAATAGATCCCAATGGTCCCCTCTCATAGTGAAATAGTGGTTTTGAATTCTGGGTATTTTTTGCCTTTGATGTATGTACTACTAGGCCTTAAATGTGACTCTTTCTGAACGCTGAGCCATGTCATGAATAGGAGGCACTGGTCTGAAATGACTCGGCCTACAGCTCCGGCTCAGTGCGCCTGCACCTGGCGACCACATGTCTGGCGGTGAGACTCCGACTGCACAGTGTCCCTTCAGCCTTCTCAGTCTGTGTTTTCTCATCAGTAATGTTCAGGTGGTCTGGAAAAGCGCTCTGCAGTCGACTTCCATAGCAAATGATCTGGACCTTCAAGGCCTAACTGCTGTGCATTAACCCCATTTTAATTCTTAGTTCATACACGTGTTCCGATGTTTCCTCCCTCTCACTGCACTCAGCAGTGTGACCACTGCTTCATGAAGGTCTGCTTTGGGCATAATTTCCCCCTGGTTGACACCCCATCTTAACTTAGAACATAATTCGTTTTCACATAATGTAAATTTGCCTGCGATACTCAGTGACACCAGGTATTCCCTGTTTGCCTATTTCTAGTACAAGCGAATCTTTACTATATGGAAATTCGAGTATCAAAATGAGTTAAAGTAACAGTTACTTTTATTAGATACAAATTAGAGATGATGTTCAATCTGGTATTTCATGAAATAAGAGTAGTACTTTAATATGTTAGTTTATTTAAAGGAAAAAAGTTCCCCAATTTATCTATTTGGAAAAGCCTTTATCTTCTAAAGAGGAACATGCATAATTAAGGTTGATAATGATGATCTTAAAAACAAAAAACAAACACAGATTAATTAGTCACTAACTTTTTTCTTTTACAAACAACGTCTCAGTGGACTGTGAACGGACAGCTGAGGGTTGGGTTTTTCACCACCAAACTGGTTCCTTCAGGCTCAGAGCTGACGTTTGACTACCAGTTCCAGAGATATGGGTGAGTGTGTGTCTCTGTGCTGCTGCTTCAGCTACAGAGACAGGGAACTGATGGGAGCTGCTGAGAGTCACCTCTATTACCAGCTTGTGTCTACAGTGGACTCAGAGTTTTGTGTGTTTCCTACAGGATGGCACTTTGGGCCGTTAAAGGACATTGTGCATGAACAGCATAATTTTCCTCTGAAATTCATGCTTCATATATAAGCATGTTTCTAATGTAATTTAAAACTTTAATTATAGAAATGTTAACAGTTTGTGTGTATAAAGAGAATAGTACAGTTCATCTTTAATTCGTCATTTATCTATCAGTTATCAACTCATGCTTAAACTTTTTTCATCTCTGCCATATTGTACTTGGAAAAAAATTTGTCACCTAGTTTTCTTTACTAAAATCAGTAATGAAGTAGCAATGAATACCCCAACATCTACATTGTGGTTTTACAAAATCCCACTAAAACGGATTGCTTCCTTGGAGAAAGCTGATTTCAGGCTTAAAACAGGAATTGAATGAGGTGATACTGGATTATCTCATACCAGAAAGCCAGTTATAAAATACCAGAGGCCTGGTGCACAAAATTCAGGCAAGAGCAGGGCTTCCTTCTCCCAGCTGCCGGCACCGGTTTTCCTCTGGCACCCGGGACCGGGCTTCCCTCTGGCTGCCAGCACCCGGGACCGGGCTTCCCTCGCAGCCCCGGCTTTGTCCAAAAGGACATCCGGTCTAATTAGCATATTATGCTTTTATTGTCATATAAGACTAGAGGCCCCATGCACAAAATTCATGCGACTATAGGCCTGCCTTCCCCCAGCTGCACGCACCAGCTTCCTCTGGCACACACGACTGGGCTTCCCTCAAAGCCCTGGCTTTGTCCAGAAGGTCATTCGGAAGGACATCTGGTCTAATTAGCATATTACCTTTTTATTATTATTGATACAGAAGATTAGGAGGGTCGTGTCAAAGGGGCTCCGGAGCTGGCTCAAATAGGCTCTCGCTCATCAGAAGCGGGAGAGCTCCTATTAGCACCTAAGCACCAGCAGGTAACAACTGCAGCAGTTTGAAACACTATGTAGAATCCTTAAATATTAATAGTATTTTTGAAAACAAAATTGCACTCATAATAATTGATGAGAACCAATTTTAAGAATTAAAAAAGAAAGAAAGCATTTATCCGGCCTTTTCAAATGAATTCTACTTTAGGTTTAACCAAATATTTGATGAGAGGAAGTTCTTTATAGATATTATCTCAGCTAATAAATGAAGTATAATGACCGGTGTCACCGTTTCTAATGTATCTGGCAATGGTTTTGCTTGTACTGTCTGTACCTCTTTTTATAATAATACACTTAGTTGTTCTATGTGCCAGTTAAATATTTACTTGTAATAGATATTTGAACTATTCCAGCAATTTTGTTCTTAGTCCAAATATGTATATGAGCTCTTATTTTCATATATTGGTAGGTACTTTTATAAAATAAAGAAATTACTAATTAACCTCTTGGCTAGTTTTGTCTAGCTAATAAAGATTGGAAAGAGAATAAATATATATATATATATATATATATTTTTTTTTTTTAACATATTTTATTGGTTTTTCACAGAGAGGAAGAGAGATGGATAGAGAGTTAGAAACATCGATGAGAGAGAATCATTGATCAGCTGCTCCTGCCCACCCCCTAGTGGGGATGTGCCCGCAACCAAGGTACATGCCCTTGACCAGAATCGAACCTGGGACCTTCCAGTTCGCAGGTTGACGCTCTACCACTGAGCCAAACAGGTTTTGGCAAGAAAATTTTTAAGAGCAATTTTCGGGCATTAGATAGTATCAGGGGTTTTTTTCTTTTTAAAAAAAAAATATATTTTATTGGTTTTTCCCGGAGAGGGAGAGTTAGAAACATCAATGAGAGAGAAACATCAATCAGGTGCCTCCTGCACACCCCCCACTGGGGATGTGCCTGCAAACAAGGTACATGCCCTTGACTGGAATTGAACTTGGGACCCTTGAGTCCGCAGGCCGTCGCTCTATCCACTGAGTGAAACCAGTTAGGGCACTATCAGGTTTTTTTGGAGTATCAGAATAATTTTTTTTTTCTTTAGGCTTTATTGACTTCTCTTTTGTAATTATTATACTCTCAGCATTTTTACATGGCTTCATTTCACATACTGACATTTTTCCTTGCTTCTTGAACAGAAAAGAAGCGCAGAAATGTTTCTGTGGGTCAGCTAATTGCCGGGGTTACCTGGGAGGGGAGAACAGAGTCAGCATTCGAGCAGCAGGAGGGAAAATGAAGAAGGAACGATCCCGTAAGAAAGATTCCGTAAGTGTTCAGGCTTTTTTCCAAATTTCACCATAGACATTTTAAGGAAGGTAGCTTTTCTGATTGAAGTTTGAAAAGTCTGAACTACAACCAGAGAAATTCAGGATCAGGTGAGATAATCATGGAAAAGGATGAGTGATTGCTGTTTTTATTTCCGCGGCACAGACATTAGAATTGGATACGTTGGAAGTCATCTTGAAGACACATGTGCTAATGATTTTGGTGTGTGTGGGGGGTAATGATTTTTTAGAGCTGGTCACACTCTCATCCTAAGTAAAATGGAGTGTTTCTCTGTTAGCTCAGGGCGGCTGCTCTGTAGCCCTGATCTTTCAGGTTGGTCTGCTTGTTTGGACGTCTAAAACTTGCAAGTGTTCTTAAAATCTCTGAAAACCCTCTGGAATGTGAGTGAGTTTTGAGAGGTAACATGTAGCTGAGAGTGAGGGAGAAATGGTCTCACGTGGTCTTTCATTTAATAATCAGAACAGCAGGTGATGGCCGCCTTCTCCCCCAGCTCCCCTCACTCTGAGGCAGGAGGAGTCTCGTTCCTTACAGCGGCTCCAGCTGGGACAGTCCCCTCCCTTCTCTGAAGAGTCCTTTTTCCAAGCAGTGTTTCTTAGCCTCATAACCACCTGCATGTTTCTGTCCCGGCTCCTGGCCTGTGAGTCCTGGTGGGGGGCCAGGAGAAGCGCCTGGGGGCTAGGGAGGTTGGTTAGCACATCCCACTGTGACCTTTTGCATCAGCGCATTCCTGGGCTTGTTAAGAACCAGCGAGGGGCCCGATACACGAAATTCGGCAAGGGGCTCAGCCCTTGCAGCCCGGCCTCATCTGGAGGGTCATCCAGATGGTCCTTCACTGTTTGGTCCAAGTAGCACATTAGCTCGTTATTATATAGGATATGGTTAGCAGTCATAAATGGCGTCAATCTTTTGGTTGAGGGGAGGAGACAGCAGCCAACATGGGGAAGTAGATAAAAGTATAATGTATAAAAGTATAAGATTATGTCATCAAGCCAAAATTAATTGAAGAGAATTATGAAGAAAGTGACTTCTATAAGACGTCATAGATAGCAGAAGCTTTTTAAAATCCCATTTTAAAAATGCAAAAAACGGGGAAAGTTTATAATAAACACCCATGTTTCTGCCACCCAATATGAAAAAAAGCTCTTCAAGTATTGTGTGTGCTTCAGCTCTTTTTTTACAGAACATAGAAAGTGCAACTGTGTGCCAAGCACTCTTCTAAGCACTTGGCATCTTACCTCGTTTAGTTCTCACAGTAAGCCCTTAAATGAGGGACAGAACATCAGCATTGATGGCTGCCTCCTGCACGCCCCCTGCTGAGGATTGAGCCCACAGCCCAGGCATGTGCCCTGACCTTGGTGCCCACCGATGTGTTTATAACCAGGCGTTTTCCTCGTGTGGTAGGTGGACGGAGAGCTGGAGGCGCTGATGGAGAATGGGGAGGGCCTCTCGGATAAAAACCAGGTGCTCAGCTTGTCTCGGCTCATGGTCAGAATCGAGACTTTGGAACAGAAACTTACCTGTCTCAAGCTCATCCAGGTGAGCACTTTGATATCTACTAATTTATTTTCTATTTCTGAATGTGATATGGGACATTTAAACTATACTTCACAATAAATGAATAAAGAAGGGCTAATTCTGATGAGAAGAATTTCTCTTGTTTTAAAAATGGATATGAGTCTGCATGACGTGGGAAGCATGTATTCTTAAAAACAGCGGGAGAGCCCAGCGTCAGTCTGTTAGTAGATCCTACTTGCTTTCCCTCTTTAACCAGAACGTGGTGAGTTTCTGTGCAACAATTCACGGTACTTGACATGTTCCTTCGCTGTGGTGGGTGGACGGAGGGCTGGAGGCTCTCCCGTGGGTATGAGTATAGAAAAGCCATTTTCACCGCAGGATCTCAAAGCAAGAAATTACAACCGTAATCTCATTTACTCCAGTTTATCTTCATTGTTTTAGCTTTTTCAACTAAAATGGTGAATGTAAATTTTTTCTTAGTCCTTTAGAATTGGATTTCATTGTAAATGACCATCTTGATGTTTATATAACTTTCTACTTTAATAAAGTAAAGGTTGACTGGATATATTTTGGGTATCAAAAAAGATTGTAATCTCTTACTTTAAAGCAATTTTTTCAGTTCTAGTTGAAGTGAAGTAGTTTCTAGGTTTCTTGGAATACTATAGCCAAACGCTTTAACATTGGGCCCTCTTTAACTTTCTGTCTGGTGTTCTTCCTCCTCTCCCCCCACCCAACCCCAACACCCCGCACTGCCCCTGCCGCCATGAAAGAACACTCACTCCCAGTCGCGCCTGAAGTCCTTTCTGGAGCGCCACGGGCTGTCCCTGCTGTGGATCTGGATGGCGGAGCTGGGGGATGGCCGGGAGAGCAACCGGAAGCTTCAGGAGGAGGTGAGCTCCCGTCAGCTCCCGGTGCCTACCCCAGTTGTTGCTGAGGTGGACGGGATGTGGTGCCATCAGGGACAGTGAATGAGCATGGCCTTCACTGCGGGGGGAAGTGTTTTCCTTCCCTTTGATAGATAAATGTTGTTATGACATTTGAAACCTTTTGTGATTATAGAGACTTGGGTCTTAATTTTAATAAGACAGTAAAAAACAAAACAAAAACAGAACAAACCAAAAAAACCCACTGCTCCTGCAGAAATGATCTGGCCCCATCCAGCAGCTTGAAAAGTCAGGTTTACAAAGTGATGTGATTTTTATTTATTTATTGTGTTTAATCAGATTATAAAGACTTTGGAACACTTACCTATTCCTACCAAAAATATGTTGGAAGAAAGCAAAGTGCTTCCAATCATCCAGCGCTGGTCTCAGACCAAAACTGCGGTTCCTCAGCTGAGCGAAGGAGACGGGTACTCCAGCGAGAACACGTCTCGGGCTCACACCCCGCTCAACACCCCCGATCCCTCCGCCAAGCTGAGTGCGGACGCCGACACAGACACCCCCAAGAAGCTCGTGTTCCGCAGACTTAAAATCATAAGCGAAAACAGCATGGACAGTGCCATCTCGGATGCCACCAGCGAGCTGGAAGGCAAGGACGGCAAAGAGGACCAGGAGCCGGTGGAAGGCCTCCCGGTGGAGGAGGAGGAAGAGTCCCAGTCACAGCACCCGCTCTCCCAGCAGCTGCCTGAGGCCAAGGCTGACGGGGACAGTGCTGGGGAGGCCAGCAAGCTGCCCGGCCCCGGCCCCGAGGCTGACGGCGAGCCGGAGCCCAGAGAGAGCAGCACCGCGAAGCTGGACGAGCACACGGCGGCGGAGACACCGTCCCAGGACGAGGAGGAGGGCGTGTCCGACGTGGAGAGTGAGCGGAGCCAGGAGCAGCCGGACAAAGCCGTCGACATCAGCGATCTGGCCACCAAGCTCCTAGATAGTTGGAAAGACCTAAAGGTAAGAAAAGATTTGTTCATTTTAACCTGAATTACTCAAGCTTAGAGTTGCACAAACTTCAATTAGAATTATCTACTTTAGCTATACATGCATTTTTTAGAAATGTCTATCAATTAATCATAAGTGTCTCAAACATACTTTAAACCTTGGCAAGAGATACACCAGCTCAACTAATATACAAATATCCCCCTTTCCTCATTTAGAGAAGTGTGACACACGGTGGATTTAGTCATTCACGAGCTCTTTACAGTGAGAACAACAACAAAAAATTCTTTGAGTAACAAATGTGTGGTTCTGCATTTGAAAATTCTCTGTAAAATTCTATGGAAGAAAACAATGTTTAAATTAATTGGAAATTAATTTGTTGGATTGACTGAAAATTAGAAAACCAAGGTAGTTTCTGTTCCAGTAAAACAACTTTATATGGAGCAGTGCTAGTTGGTGTTCAGTTCCAGTGTTATGTCTGAAATATGCCTATTTCTTTGGACAAAAGGTGCTACCTAGAGGAAAAATAGAGAGGCGTGGAAGCCTTGCATAACACAGACATCATCTCTCGTTAAAGAACGGAGCAAGGTGGCAGGATTTGCTTTGCAGAAAACCCAGTCTGGCTCTTGGGTAAACATGTGACAGGATGACCTATGAGAGCTGTGGATCCAAGTCCTCTCCGTCTTGGTCCCAGTCTTAGGGTCCTGTGGGAACTGTACATTCTAGCCTCTGGTTTTCCGTTCCTCCTTTTGAATACCAGAGGGAAGCAACAGGTAAACAGCACAGGTCGTTTGCAGCGAGATGGACATCTGAGTCCTCCCTGTGCCAGTTACGACCACAAAGCTCACCAATAAGACCCTATGATTTGAGCCATAACGGAACTGGCCTTACACTGAGCAAATGAGCAGCGCAGTTGTGCTTATTTTCGGCTTTTGCGTTTTGTGTCAAGACCCTTTGTTAGTGTGGTGTGGGTTCAGCTCACCCATTTGAGCTCTTCCTCATGCTGCTCTTCCCTCACAGTTCACTGTAACCTGAGCCTTAGGAAATCGGACCTTTTTATAAGTCCAAAAGGAAGGGTTCGTAGTAAATGTGCTCCTGACACCGCCTGTGAACTACAGGAATTGGAATTGCAATTAATTGAAAGAGATGCTGGGACAGTCGCTTGGGGACCTTCCTTTAAGGCCTGCTTTCATTTTATTCTTTCCTGGAATGGTGGTTTGTGTTAGAGACTGTGAGGAGAGCCTGTGCTCTGGCTGGCTTGGAGGGAGCTGGGAATGGAGACAAGAACGCTGGTGAACATAGAGACAGTGTCATAGGGAGGGAACGTAATTAAAAAAAAAAAAAAAAGACATGATCATCATATTTCCTTAAAACCCTGTCTCTTAAAATCTGGAGAAAGTGAATATTTTTATTTCTCTATACAGTAGTTTTTTTATTGTAATGGTATGAATTATTCTCTGGGATTTCCTTAACCCAATTAGAGGTAATGTCTTAAAATCACATTCTGGACATACATTTGAGTCCTACAAAATCGTTTCTGCCCCTGCTTACAATCCTCCCCACTTTTATCTAAAATACCAAAGGAGTTGCACAGTGCTGTGTAGCTTGATGGTCCTCTTGAGGTTTAAAATTTTATTCGTATTTAAAATATATCCTCCTTACTCTTTCTACTTTAGGTTTATTCCAATCCTTAGTATTAGGAAGCCATTAAATAAAGGCTCTTTCTTCAAACTTTAGTTTGCTCTGGAATCATTACCCATCTGGAATTGCATTGCTGAGACATGTTTTTGCTTGACTGAACTGTGATGTTTTGTTATATATTGGTGCCAGGGTTCTTAATTGATCTATTCTATATTAACATTCACAATGTTCTAATTTCAAAACTGATTCTGGTTGCTTTTAAAACATGTTCTTTAGCTAGCATCTAGCAAGAACTCTGAAGTCAGGAGTCCGTGGTGTGGACATTGTAGAGAAACACAGTGACTTGATGTGATGACTATGCAGTATATCCTGCTACCCGGCATTGAAAGAGTTAACTACTTCTGTCTGACTTCCACCTATGTGTCCAAGTAGAAAGTGGACCTTGGCAGGAAAAAAAAAGGTCTTATTCAACCAATCGTTATTAAGCACCTGTTGCCACGCACCTTGTTAGTTGCTGAAGTTAATGCCAAGATCTCCCTGAAAAGCCTTGGTCTTAGGCTGTGGTTATGTTAGCCACTCCTGGCTTCCCTGACCCGGGCCACGTCCACATGGGCGGGTGTGAGTCCCACTTGGCCTCCTGCACACTGGATGGAGTGAAGAACGGAAAGCATTGCTTCAGATTCCTTACTCCTGGTTTTGCTATGAAGGCAGACTATAGGGATCATCAACAAATGAGAGGGCGGGAAGGGCGGGAATGAAGCTTCATGAATTACTCTTTGTCCTCCCAGATCTGATGATGATCCCTCTTGTAACTTGAACCATTTCCATCTAGCTTCTCAGGGCAGCAAGGAGCTTGTTAACATCACCAGCTGACCATGTGTCTCCTTTTCTCAACTCCATTTTCAACTCCGTGCTGAAGAAAAACGAGAACCTAGCGTGCATTCTGTGAAGAAGCAGGAAGAAGGTTGGGAAGTTGGATGATGCATGAAAAATATAATAGGTGAAAAGAGGACAGAGGTGGTTAACTCGTGGCGCCGGCGTTATTTTGGTGTGTCCATTGCCGACAATGGATGTCGTTCTGGGAAAATCCCGACTCCTGGCAAGAAAGGATTAAGTGAGCTGCTTTCTGTGCCTCATACACAGGACCTCTGCCTGCCTTGGCCCCCCGAGGCTCACACGCTCTGACTCTAAAGTAAACCCGAACGAGAAACATCCCTAGCACACGGCTACACATGTGCACGCCTTCACGTTCACACGCACACTCACTGGGTTACGTTTTCAGCAGAGACATGTACACAAGTTTCTGTTCACAAAAGGAGTTGTACATCACCCCTTGTGCTGAAAATACACCCTAGACTTCACAGGGCAAAACAGCTGGTTATAAGTGTGATAACTGTAACCTTGCCTGGAAAATCTTCCTTCATTTGGATCCTAAGACAAAGAGGTAAGGTTCCTGTGAATTTGGCAGCTTCAGTTGCAGTTAAACACCCAGAGATCGTGATGGCTATTGATTCCAGAGCCTTCTTGTAGATCTGTAGGTTACAGGATGTGCCTCTCCTTAAAGTGAGTTCTGGGTAGTTACAGTTACACCTGGATTCCATGATTTAAGGACAACATTCTGTAACGTGCTAAGTTGGAGTCTTCTTAATGGCCATTCTTATTCTTTCCTTTTATCTTTATTTCCAGATAGTATCTTTAACTCATCAAACATTATTTTCCTAGGAATTTAAACATTAAACTCTCTATAGAAATAACATGGACGTATCCAACTAATAGAGAGTTACTGCTTGGAATTTTGATCTGTAACTAATATTCTTTGTGAAATCTGCAATGCAACATTTTAAAATGAAATTTTGTGCCCTGAATTTTTGTAATTTTAAAATCCTTGATAGATTATTCTATGTTCATAAAGATCAGTATTATCCTTATCTTTAAAATGTATAATTGCCCCCAAGAACACTATATGAGATACTGGTTCCTTGGTAAAAGGTAAATGTGGCCCTAAACTCATTAGTAGTCCTTTTTGTTATTACTGGGTAAATACTTTCATCTAAATTGTAGGTTGGGCAATCTGCTCCACTGCCTGTTTTTGTAAATAAATATATTTTTTTGTTTTTTGTGTGTTTGTTTGTTTTCAACAGCCACGTTTGTTCGCGTACATACTGCCTGTGGCTGCTTTTTCATGCAGTGGTAGAGCTGAGTAGTTGGTTCAGAGCCGGGTGACCAGCAAAGCCTAAAATATTTACTGTCTTGTCCTCTGCAGAATAAGTTTGCCAACACCTGATCTAAACAATAAAGTACAGAATGTGGTTGCTCTAAACATTCTGATACTGAATGAAGTCATCTGACAATTTATTCTTTGGGTGAGCTCTTAATTCTGTTTCCCTAAAGACATTATGATCATGTTTTTATAACCGTGAAGTTAAAAAAAGTCTTGATGCTATTTAGGAAAAGTTACTTTTTTTGGATATAAGACTATCTGAGAAGTGGGGGACTATATACATTATTACTAGGGGCCCGATGCACGAATTTGTGCACCTTGAAAAGAACTGTGGGCCTGGAGGCTGCGGTAGGCATGGGGGCGGGTCTCGGCCCATCTTCCACGCCCCTGCCAGCCCCGCCCCAGTCCCTTATCTGCCGGCAGCCCCGCTCTGCCACTGCCACTCCCACGTGCACCGGCACCAGCAGTGGGTGCGAGTGGTGGCTCTGGCGCAGGACCACGGTGTGTGGAAGCAAAGAATTTTCAGTAATCACAGGGGCTCGCCCCGATGACAGTACCCGGTGCTGTGCCTTCGTCTGCCCCTGCCCCCCTTCGTTCCACTGTCCACCATGGCCAACAGCCGCCATGTTCCGCCTCTGGTGGTCAGAGCGTGTCACAGGGACTGGTTGTTCCATATTAGCCTTTTATTATATAGGGGAGGATTACTGGTCTGGAAGAGACTTTTCAGCAATATTGGTTTTCCTTCAGGCCAATGACTAAGTTAGTTGGAAATAAGAAATTTTGAATATAGATAAGTTGGTGAAATTTAGCTTTATATGTAATCATAATTTTAAAAATAGAAATCTTCCTTCTGGAATGTCTTTGTAATTTTAGACATACAGGAAAACTGCAGGCATATATTTGTATATGTATTCTGCATTTAATACACATTTTAGTGACAAAGGCAGGAAAAAAACTCAGCTTAAAATTTCTTTATTTTAAAATTCGATCTTTTATACATTTTATTTTAAAAATATTTCTATTGATTTCAGAGAGGAAAGGAAAGGGAGAGAGAGATAAAAGCATCAAGGATGAGAGTAACTCATTGATTGGCTGCCTCCTGCACACCACCCACTGGGGATGTGCCCAGAACCAAGGTACATGCCCCTGACCA